TGAGACCGGCTGCACTGCGCTCAGCCAGTGAGCACACCAGCCATCCCTATATAGGATCCGACGGCGGGAGCACTGCTGCGCTCCCAGCGCTGCACTCTCCCGAGTGCGCCACAGGCTCAGCCCCTAGAGTAGAATGGTTTTAACTGAAACAAGTATGGAACAAAAAGAGGGGTGACTTTGGAGGACTGCTCAAAGAAGGGACAAAGAGAGAGTTTGGGTTCCTGGAGTTGCGCATTTCACACACTTGTTTATGATTTAGATGCAAGGTTTTGTGGAGATCTGGTAATTTACAGTAGAGATCAGAGAAAATGTGTACAGAGTGAGGGATATGAAGGGAGGAAAAAATCCCATTGCTTTGGCAGCACCTTCCCTTGCCTCCACGTCGCAAAGCAGAGGCTCGCTGAGTGAGTGGCCTCCCCAGCCCTTCTCCACAGCCCTTTCCACCCCATGCAGCAAGTCATCCTGAAGGAGTGTGGGCCAGAGCTCTCTCCGTTTCTCAGGGCATCGCTGTTTTGCATGTCAAGCCCTTACCAAGCTAACCAATGAGACTCTCCCAACAGGATTCTCTGGGTATTTTGGAAACTGTTCAGATTATTTGGACCGGCCTAGAGTATACGCTCAGATGTTTTTCTTCTGTTGTGGATTTTCAGTGGGCACTGGACCCAAAATCAACCAGATGTTAGAGGGAGTTTGGGGGGGGGCGGGTAGGAGACAATCACTTTTTAATGTTAGGGAAATTGCAAATAAATAGGTATGCAGATGATTTCTAAGATTCCTTCCAGCCTCACCCCACAAAGCTGATTCCTCCAAATTCCTGAGCATTCACTCTTTGATTCAGAAGTTCCCTTGCAATCTAAAGCAAGTTGGAGTTTTTCTTGTCAGTGTTCCGTATTTTGAATATGAATACTACCCATTATATGAGTTTATATCCAGTGCCTTGCCTCACTTCTGGCAAAAATGAAATCTAAAGAGATGGCTTCTATTTGAAAACATTTAGATAGTCTAAGAGGACGAGCATTGTAACTTATGACATCCAAACAAAAATTAACCTGGCAAACTAAGACTTTTTATATCACAAAGCCAGACTTCTTATTCATTAGAGCGTTTCCTACTGTTTTCATTTTGACAAGAGGCTCTATGGTCTTTGGGTTGTTTTGCTGATGATATGGGGCCAGCCTCACATCTAGACAGATGGGACTGTGACCTAGGGGAGATTTCAGGCAGACTGAGGCTGGCCCCACCTAATTCTTCCAACTTACACCTACTAAATCCCACCTTTACAGCTTAGCCTGTAGTTTAAGGATTTGATGATGAAGTTGTGGGGTGCAGATATCCACCAACAAGCGGGAGAGGGCACAGGTTAAAGAGATGGAGGTGCCAAAGAAAGACCCTGCCAACTTTATTATTTCTCCCAGAGTTTGCCTCTTAGGGTCACAGAATTAAATATGTCCCAGTCTGAAGGATCTTAGGGACTAGCTCATTAACACATTTTACATAAAGGGAAACTGAGGCCCAGAGTGGGAAAGCATATTGCCCAAGGACACTCTGCTGGTCAGGCTGCAGTGGGTCTGAAACCTGGGTTTCCTGACACCCAGACAGAAAGGTGCCTTTCAGAGACAACAGGCATGATTAGCAGCAATTTTTAGGGGGCCAAATCACTTTGAAATATGAAAACTGAAATGGCAGGAAAAAGAGAACGTTTTCAAAATGGCTTTCTGACTCTGGGTAAACAGTAACCACATTTTTTTTGCCTGTTGGAGGCCTGGTTTTTAATCACTCCACAAGCAGTTTTCATTTCTGTAGTAAAATTGCTTGTGGTTCTATTTAATTTGTTTCTGCAGGAGCCAGCTTTGGTGAAGATCTCCGAGGAGCTGGCGGGCATTTTAGCACAGCACGCGCAGCCAGTCAATGAGAAACGGTTCCCAACGTGGAGGAAATTCCTCCAAACATTTCTCAGTCAAGGTAAATAAGACTGTAAAGTTTCTACTGAGGATTAGTCCACACAACATTGGATTCTAGTTTTGGGTCAACCTGGGGCCAACTTAAACACTTCGAATCTTCTGTATTGGCTTAGAAAAGTGCTCCTGCAGCAGTCTTTCTTTCTTTTCTAAAGGTTGCCTGAATATTTATCTTGCACGCAGCCTCTTAAGTAAATAGGAAGCAATCATATCAAGCATGGCATGTGGAGCTCAAGATTCTGGGCCTTTTTTTTTTTTTTTGCACCACAGACTTCTTCTGAGATACGGGCTTTAGAATCAGATGACCTGGGTCTGGACCTCATCCATGACCTTGAGTGAGATCCTTAAAGCCTCAGAGGCCCAGTTTCCTCAGTTACACACCTTATAGGGTTTTTGGGAAGATTCTGTGGCA